TTCCGACCACTTCGAACGTTCAGGTGTACGGCGACGTCATGTTCAAGACGCAGTTCGTGGCCTTCAATGGCGGCAACAATTCTCTCGGTTTCGCCGAGCACGCAGACGGCCAAGCCCGACCCACGCAGCTGGGTCAGCAGCAGCAGCAACAACAGGGGACGGGCGAAACGCAACCCCTAAGAGGGTGAGTCGCGAGAGTGCCAGCGACCAACCCTCAGCCGAGCTAATACTCGCGCAGTGTGGTCAATGAGAGCTCGGCTGGGCCCGCAAGGGCATCGAGCCTAGTTCTGGTTGGCGCCGTGCCGGCGTTGACGGCGATACTCGGGTGGTACATATAGATCTTCTTATTTATCCTTATGAATACATGACGTCTGCCTCGTATGACTGGCAAATAAACCGGTGCGCGAGATCGTGATTTTGCCACACCCAACATGTCTCAAATCGTCTGTAGTCATGACTTGCGTGTACGCCAGCGACTTGCTCCTCGATACTGTGAATCTGAGATACACAACTACCTCTGCTCTTCATCGACATTCGTCTTCAAAAATTTAGCAGTGCGGTGGGTAATGTGTTCACAGAGAGATAACATGACAAGGCGTATCCTGCAACACATTTCATAGTGATTTATCAACAGGAAAGGTAGCGAGGAAACGACAGTCTGGTGATATTATGACACGGTTCGTCACCTGTAGAGAAGCTACTGCTTGTACTCGCCCTTGGCAATCTTCTCGCAGACCGCCTTGAGCGTCTCGCCAGCCCAGACAAAGTCCTCGAGACCAAGGTAGACCTGCGCGCTGATGCGCGCATACCAGCGCCCACCATGGACACCCACAGGGACAAACGTCTTGTACTCCTCCCTGAGCACCTTGATGACGAACGCTGCGATAGCAGCTCATCCTCGGCCGGCGCCTCGATGGGCAGGAACACGTTGACCATGGCACAGTTGGTCAGGGTGCCCGCAACGTTGTCGAGCACCTCGGTGCCCAGGATCTCGGCCGTCTTGCGACCGCCCTCCTTTGCCAGCTTCCACAGGTAGTCGAGGATGCGCTGCTCGCCACCGAGGACGTCCTTGCGCCACTGGACCGCATCCTTGACGCAGCAGTAGGGGCTCACCTCCCAGGCGCCGATGAAGGCGAAACGCTGGGCAAAGGCGACGGGGTCGACCTCGTCGGTGGACGCGCGCGGCTTGGCGTTGGGCCCCGTCTGGGTGACGTAGCTGTGGCTCGTGGGCAGCGTGCTCGTGATCTGGGCGTGGTTTCGGACGGGCACGTAGACGACGGCGCAGCCGCGGGGCACGTGGAGCCACTTGTGGCAGTTGCTCAGGAAGTAGTCGGCGTCGAGGGCGGTGAGATCTATGGGCACCATGCCGATGCCCTGCGCACCATCGACGAGACTGACGACGCCAAGCTCGCGGCAAGCCTTGGTGACGGCCTCGAAGGGGAAGCGCACGCCTGGCTGGGACGTGACGACGTCGTAGATGGCGACGCGCGGACGCTTACCTTCGCTACGGGACTTTTCAACGGCTGCACGGAAGAGGTCGACGATGGTGTCGTCTTCGAGAGGGTACGTCAGCGGGATAGTTCGCGACGAGAGGCGGCCCGGGTTCGTATCGATGAGGTACTCGACCGTCTTCTCGCACGCGCCGTAGATGGTGCTGAAGGAGATGATCTCATCTTTCCCATCGTCGGCCCAGGTGAAGTTACGAATGATGATGTTGAGAGCCGTCGTGGCATTGGCTGCCAGGATGAGCGTCTCAACCGGAGCGTTGAGGTGCTCAGCGAGAGCAGCGCGGGATTCTTCCAGGAGAGCGGGGTACTGGTGGCGGAGGAAGATGTCAGACTGCGCTTCGGCACGGGTCAGATAGTCAAGGCGCTTCTCATGCACAGCCCTGGGATATGTGCCAAAAGAGCCTATCCAGTCAGCAACCTTCATCCGTTATGAGGGGGACGTTATCACGGACCATGGTTGAGGTTGTGATACTCAGGGTCAATGAGAAAGTCCTTGAGCAAGGCGGGGCCAAACTCAACGGGTGTCTTGGACACGGTCCTGTCCACAAGGGTGGTCATGGCTCTGGCGATTGGGGTTTGAGAACGGGGTGGACTAGTCAACAAGTTTGAGCAGACTTTTTGATTGCGTCCCTGAGGCTCGACTCGCAGCTTATACGAGCTTCACAGCGTTGTTCGTGACTCACTTACGCAGTGTTGTCGTGTTGCAGAGTCATCCTCCTAACCCCATATTCAGCATAGAGGACGACACATGATTCGCCGCGCGGCTCGTCATCACGAAGGGCGTACCGACCCGACCGCATCGACACGACGATAGGACAAGCGTCGCGACCAACCCGGTCTCTGAATGCGCCGTCTGACATTTAAGTGAGTCTGGCAACTACGCGATTACAAATGCAAGCCATTCGAGGTGGTAGTAGACACTATCTCGATAATCGGTTTCGCTCAATGCGCGGGGGACTTGGCAAATGCCCTGGTCAGCTAGCTTCAGATCAGTTAATTGTGATTTTGAGGGAATAAGAGGATTGCCCAAAGCTGGCTGGAATTGCCGGGCTCACAGCTTGCGATTGCGACCCACCGACCCGAAGATATCACCATACTTGTACAAGGGCAAAAGGTCAAAGCGAAGCAGCCATGCCCGAGGTGTTCAAGTTCAAACCAACTGCCGGCGTGCGATGATCACCGGCTTCTTCGGTGGTAGGCGGGTCCCTCTGAGGAAAGATGAGCCTCGATAACTCTAAAACCCAAAAAAGGAGAAGCTCCCCTCCCAGAAGCCTCCGAGATTACCGAGCCGTGTCAGTGAGCGTGTCAGTGCCACCTAGATCAGGGCCAGGGGAGAGCTCACGAGTGTCGCGCCAAGCCATGCGAATCGGCCTCATTCCGGCTTCTGCGAGATAGATAGTGCGCGGACAGGAGGCAAGAGAACGATGCGACGCTATGCAGACCTCGGCGATGCGACGTACCGTGGGGAAAGTGTACCTAGAAGGATACTCTGAACATGCAGCGCATCCCCTGAATCGAGCAGGGATCTCTCATGAGGAGGAGCCTATGGACATGGGCCTATGGGCGCCCCTCAAAACCGAGGCACACCAAATGCCGGTTCGCGCCAGCACAAGAGGCACAACCACATGTAGGGCCCCCAAGGTCGTCGTCCACGTTTAATTGTCCTGGGTGCCTCCCCCGCATACTACAAAGTCCAGTGTGAAGTAGACATTTCCCCCTCTTCTTGGCTCGCTATTCCCCGCAATGACGATCCCTTCTAACACCCCCCTGGCCATGGCCCTGCCCCTGGCCTTGGCTCTGACTTCCGGGGCCACCCCTTGCGGGAGTCTCCTTCCGCGGTCCTCTGTGCTGCCTCTACAAGCTGCAAGATATACCCTTCCCAATCAAATCGAGGGCAACCCGGCCCGCGGACCACGACCGCACCAAGCCGGCGCAAAGTCTCCCGAGCCCACAACCGCAGCGACGCTGTTTGCTGGCGCACATCCTGCCTGTCCTGGCCGCGGGACCAAGACGAGGGCCAAGGCCGTCCGGACGTCACGTTGCCGGGTTCTAGCTGCAATCACTCGGCCCTTTACATTGGCAGCCCACACAAGCGACTGCCTTTGATTGATGGCATTTGGCGGCAAGCAGGCATGGGATACGGGGATGCAGACACCGCGGCGTGGACGCCTGGGTAAACCTTGACCCACGCAACGGGGAACGTCCATCTGCTTATAAGACGAGCACTGGCTCCGTTGAGGACATCACCGCGCTCAACCCTCTACCAAGGGCATCGATCTCTGGAGCAGAACAGACAGACCCAGGTCGTTCACCATCTGGCCTTCAGCCCCTCCCCCTCTCCCACCATGCACGTCAACAAGCTCCTCGCCGTCCTAGCGGCGTCGACCCTTCAGGCCTTGCGCAAACGAACAATGCAGCCTGGGACGCAGCCTATGCTAAAGCCGAGGCGGCACTCGCGAAGCTGACGCAGGAGGAGAAGATTGGCATCGTCACCGGCATTGGTTGGAATCAGGCGCCCAATGGTCCCTGCATCGGTAACACGAGCCCCGTGTCTTCGATCGGCTACCCCTCGCTCTGCCTGCACGATGGACCCCTCGGAGTGCGCTGGGGCAAGAGCATAACGGCCTTCACGCCCGCCGTGCAGGCTGCCTCGACGTGGGACGTCGAGCTCATCCGTCAGCGCGGCGCCTACCTCGCCGCCGAATTCAAGGGCACCGGCGTCAACGTCATCCTTGGTCCGGCCCCGGGCGCTCTCGGCAAGAACGCCGAGGGCGGCCGCAACTGGGAGGGTTTCGCGCCCGATCCATACCTCCAGGGCATCGCGTCGCAAGTGACTGTCGAGGCTCTGCAGGCGGGCGGCGTGCAGGCGACAGCCAAGCACTTCATCGTCAACGAGCAGGAGATCAACCGTGAGCAGATCAGCAGCAATGTCGACGACCGCACCATGCACGAGCTATACCTGTGGCCTTTTGCCGACACGCTGCGCGCCAACGTGGCAGCTGTCATGTGCTCTTACAACCGTGTCAACGGCACCCACGCGTGCGAGAACAGCGGCGTCCTCAACGACCTGCTAAAGACGGAGCTCGGATTCCCTGGCTACGTCATGAGTGATTGGTTCGTGGCCCAGCAGACGACATCGGGTGCAGCCAACGCCGGTATGGACATGTCGATGCCCGGCTCCGGCTGGGGCGGCGGCGACGAGCTCTGGGGCCCCAAGCTTCAGGCTGCCATTGACGCCGGAGAAGTCGAGCAGTCGAGGCTCGAGGACATGGGCCGCCGCATTCTTGCAGGTTGGTATCTCCTCGGCCAGGACGGCGGCTATCCGCCCGTCAACATCCAGGCCAACGTTCAGGCCAACCACGCCGAAAACGTCCGCGCTTGCGCCCGCGACGGTACCGTGCTCCTGAAAAACGAAGACGCCATCTTGCCTCTCAAGGCCCCGGGCAGCATCGCCGTCATTGGATCATCATCGATCCAGAACCCCAACGGCATCAACTCGTGCGTCGACCAGGGCTGCAACGAGGGCGCCCTCGGCATGGGCTGGGGCTCGGGTGCTGTTGAGTACCCGTACCTCGTTGCGCCACTTGACGCAATCAAGGTGCAGGCCGCGGCCGACGGAACCGACATTGTGTCGAGTACCACGGATGATACAGCAGCTGGTGCTAGGGCAGCCACTGGTGCCGATGTTGCGCTCGTCTTCATCACGGCCAACTCGGGCGAGGGCTACCTCACGGTTGAGGGCAACGTCGGCGATCGCAACAACCTGGACCCCTGGAACGATGGAAACGAGCTGGTGGCCGCCGTGGCTGCCGTCAACGATAACGTTGTGGTCGTCGTGCACAGCACGGGCGCCGTGATCCTCGAGAGGATCCTGGCGCTGCCCAGCGTCAAGGCTGTTGTCTGGGGCGGTCTGCCGTCGCAGGAGAACGGTAACGCTGTCGTCGACATTGTTTGGGGCTCGACCAACCCCAACGGCAAGCTGCCTTACACGATCGCCAAGTCTGAGAACGACTACAGCAGCAAGGTGATTCGCAACGGCGGCGATGACAACTTTAGCGAGGGGCTGTATGTCGACTACCGCCACTTTGACGCGCAGAACATTGAGCCGCGTTTCGAGTTTGGCTTCGGGCTGTGTGAGTTCACGTTCCTTTCTGCTGTGTCTGCTTGTAGGTGATGAGCAAAGGGATGGGCAACTGCTAATCTAAGTCAGCTTACACGAAATACGAGTACTCGAACATCGCCATCAACTCGGTGGCCATTGGCGGCCCAGCGCGTTGGGAGAGACGGGACCAGGCGGACGCATCGACCTCTTTGATGACGTCGCCGAGGTCACGGCAACGATTACAAACACGGGCGAGGTGGCCGGCGCCGAGGTCGCGCAGTGTGTACATCACGCTGCCGCCAAAGCGCGCCCGGCTACGCCCCCCCAAGCAGCTGCGCGGATTTCGCCAAAGCTCAAGCTCGCGGCTGGGCGCGTCCGGGGCACGGGTGACGTTTCCCCGCCTGGCGGCGCAAAGGACCTGAGCTACTGGGACGTCACCAGCCAGAACTGGATCGTGCCGCAGGCACCAATCGGCGTCAAGGTGGCGCGTCGAGCCGGGGACATCAGGCTTGAGGCGAGGATTGAAGTGACGGGCGGACCACCGCGTGCGGCAAGAGGCGCCGCATGATCAGTGATCTGACACTAGAGCGGGAGAGGCTTCCAGCGGATGCATGGCAATCGTGATAGCGGTAGTCAAAAATAGAGCCGTCGAATCAAATGGCCGCAGCTGGTGACGTTGCGGGATGTTTAACGCGCTTCATGGTTTGACGAATGCGAGGCTGGGGTGGATGAGAAGCTTGATCTTCGCCAAGGCACACTCGTGCCTGATGCGAGTCATTGGGTGGGATGCGAGACCGAAAGCCAAGGCCGAATTCCGAGTCTCTGGTATAGTAAATGGTGATGTTGCCAAGGACGGGGGAGAAGCATACGCGGAAGGAGAGCCACGCCGCCAAGGTCACATGACACTCGGGCTGCCCGAAACCTCCACCCGCTGAGGCTTGTCGGGGGGGGGGGGGGGGCGTAGTGGCGGAGCACGTCACCCGCAGGTCGCTCGCAAGTCACAGCCCCCGCTGCGCTGAAGCCAGCCCTGTACCACCCGAAGCAAAAGAGACACTGTCTAAGGTACCTACCTCAGGTTTGCCTCTGGGTCTGCCTTTGGGCCTGCCACAGCGCTGCGCCTGCCTCGCACCTGCACTACGAGAACCGTGAGTACGCAGCCAGCAGCGGGAGAGCGCCTAGGCAGCAGAGAATCTGACGAGCTCGCTCTGTGCCCAATCGCAAAACACCCCGGAGACCTGCGGCTGCTGCTGGCTGCTGCTGCTGGCGGACGCCCACCCACCCCGCCGTGCTAAGCCCAGCTAAACCCGTAGCTTCGCCCCCGCCTCGGACGCCGGTGTCTGTAGCTCGCCATCCGTGGACATGGTCCCCATGACCCGGCCTGCTCGGCCCCTTTGATGTGTCCGCGTCAGCCTTGGGTGTGTGTGGTATATAACAGTTCCTTCCCATGACGCCGTTCATGTTCCTCGTGGCCAGACACACCTGACCTGATCAGAAACAAGTCATATCACACATCGCCTCACCAGCGCAATCACCTACAAGACCAGACTTCCATCATCTGCAGCAACCTCAAGCTTTCACATCGGATCAACTCACAACAACTCACACCTCAAAATGTCCGCTTCAGACTACTACGGCAACGGCCAGCCCTCGTACGGCGGCCAGGCCCAAGGCTACCCCTCCCAGCCCCAGTATGCCCAGCAGCAGCCGACGTACACCCAAACCCAGGGCTACCCCTCTCAGCCCTCGTACGCCGCCTCCCCCGCCCCCTCGAGCAACAATAACAACCACCTAGCGCCTTACGGCGCGGCGCCTAACCCCAACTCGCGCCCCACGAGCGCTCAGTCCCACCACTCGTACGGCGGCGGCCAGCCCACATACGCCGACCAAAACTCCTCCTACGGCGGCCACAACCAGCAGCAGCACCAGCAGCAGCAACACAGCCGCGACGGCCCCGCCGGCTCGGACGCCCAGTTTGGCGAGGACGGCGACCGCGGCATCATGTCCACCATTGGCGGCGGCGCCGCCGGCGGCTTCATTGGCAAGAAGATCATGGGCGGCAAGCTCGGCGCCATGGCTGGCGCCGTCGTCGGCTCCATCGTCGCCAACAAGGTCGAGGACCGCTTCAGCTCCAAGAACAGCCACAAGCAGTCCCACCACCAGCAGCAACACCACGGGGGCCACCACGGCAGCCAGTACCCGCAGCAGAACCAGTACAACCAGGGCTACGGTGCCCCGTATCAGAGCCACCATGGCAGCAGCAGCAGTGGCGGCCTCATGGGCTCCGTCCAGAATCTGCTCGGCAAGCGGTAAAAGAAAGGAAAGGACAGGCAGGAGGCGCGTGTGCTGATTATGACGGCTGCATGATGTAATGACGAACGACGGGTACTGTTTTACATAGGCATTGGGTCTTTTCAACTGTTAGATACACCTTTTTTTTTCTTGATTGCGTCGGGTCTGCAAAGTCTCTCGACGAATGATTACCTATTCACTTGCGAATCCACGTCAACCACGGAGCACATGTGCTTGTTATTAATGGTGGCCCGGATTTTACTGCTAGACGACCTCGCTCATTCAAAATAGCTTGCCACATCCGCCCGCCGTACAAAGCCGTGTTCTCCTGATCTTTACTATTCACAGGGCTCAAAGTCGTCTTAGGCTTAGGCCCAACCTTTCTACCCCGCCCAGAACGAAGCTCCTTCTCGAGGCGCCAGACATAACGAGCCTGTTCCTAAGGAACGGCATAATCGTCCCAAACGCCAGTCATTATTCGTTACAAATCCACCAGATGCCGTTGACCACTAACCTACAATCTCCCCCTCACGTCTGTTTGGCAGTAGAATCTCCTCGTCGTCCGAGCTATCGTTATCAGCTTGCGCCACGCGGTCCAGCATCCGCTCAATGTCTTCGTCCGCCAGCTTTGGCCGCGGTCGCGAGTGTCCGCTCCCCAAGCCCGCCGGCAGCGACAGTTGGCTCCGATGACCGAATCCTCCGTTCACGCGTCTCCGCACGGCCGTTCGAGGGGTCCCCGTCTGCGAATCAGCATCCACATCCATTTCCATCATGCTCGTGCTCTTCTCAAAGCCAACACGCTTGGGAGGCGGCTGTGGCCTGTGGCTGGGTAGGCTCTTTCGGGGCTGCGACGTTGGCAGGGCGTGGCGTGTGCCTGGAAGCGGCTGTGACGATGATATTGCAGGTGCGTAGCCGTGCTTCATGTTGGTAGAGTTGCCGGGGCTGCTCATGAAGAGCAGCGTTTCGATAGCGTCCTGCTCTCGCACATTCTGGTGGGGCGAAAACAGAATGGGGTCGGCCAGGGCGTCCGACCCACGCGTTGTAATGGGGTTCCCTGCAGCGAGCTCTGTTGGGCAGGCGTATGAGGAGAGGCACTGTGGGAATGGGAGAGGAGCGTCGGCGTGTAGTGGGGGTTGGAATTACGACGCGGGTTGTGGGCGGCTGTCGATCGTGAAGGCTGGATAGAGGCTGGAGGTGCTAGGCTCAGAACTGGCTGTACGGCGCCTGGCGGTGACGCAGAGTTGTGACCACGACGAGATAGAGGCTGCGCGCCATCCCTCCAAAACGTATCGTATGCCGCCGGACTCGGGTTGGAGCTGCTCGTCGTCGCGCTGTGAGGACCACTTCGGGCTGCAGCCAGCATGGCGGTTCGAGGGCTAGCCGAGTTCTCGTAGCGGCCGTGCAGTGTCGAATGACTGGATGTGGGTGAAGCGGCTTGTGAAGCCATCGACTCGACCTCGTCGATAGAATGTGACTGCCAGCCGTGATTCAACTTCACCATGGCGTACGAGAGACGCGTCTTGAGGTCGCTCGATAGCTGCACATGGTTAGCAATTTCCCATAGCGTAGATTGTACGTGAACTTACATCGCCAATAGTGCTTGTCGTCGTCGACGCTAAAGAGACTGCACTCGTGTTTCTGGAGTGACCGCCGCGCACGGGCGACACGGTGGTGTCCTTGACTGCCGCGTCGGCTGTCCTCTTGCGCGATAGAGAAGTCGCCTCGGGGTTGTACATTTTGTCCTGTGCAGCAGCAATCGAGAGAGCTGGAGAAGCTGGGACTCCTGGCTCGACGATTGTCCGCTCATGTGGCTTTTGGGGACGTCGCCCTGGCTGGGTTGGCTCGGTTGGCTGGTAGGCGGGGTAAAGACGTTGTCCGACTCGATGGTCAGTGTCGTGTCTTGGGACGTATCGTCGGGTGTCAATTGATGAGGCGGAGCGTGTGGTCGTCGTGCGGCAGCGGCGGCGGCAGCGTCCGAGAGATGTGCGAGGGTATGGAGAGCATCGACGGCACCGTGTGGTTGTGGTGGCTGCGCGAGGTGGGTAGCGACAGCGGGATTTCGTGATGGCGCGTCTCGGGTGGGTGGTGCCGCAGCAGGCGCGTCGGGCGCCGAGGTGGAAGAGGCGTATCGATGCAGATTATCCGACAGTAACCTCCCGTCGTGGCCAGAACCGGCGTGGCCTATTTGGGAGCGGCCGTAGGAGGCGTTGGCATCATGAGTGGTAGTGCCTGTACCCGTATGTGCATGGCCCAGCTGATGCGGCCGGGTTACTGCGTCCATAACGCTGGTCGTCGTACTTTGCATGCGAGTACGGGTATGCTGGGACTGACGTTGATGGGTCGCGGTATTTGCGAGTGTGTCTCAGATGGCGATGGGAAGATGGTGAACCGGCTGCGATGTGCTGCTGTCCAAGGTACAAATGTGGAAGCCTGGCAAACGCGTACGTGTACGTCCCAGGCGAGGCGGTTTGAGCCGAGACGGGTGAGGTGGAGGTCAGGATGACGGGCTTGGATGTACGATCATGACCGGAGCGGGAGGGCGAAAGATGAAAGGCGAGCGTGCTGTGACGCGGCCTGTAGGTTGACGCCTGTCCTGTCGGGGATGAGGTGGGTGAATTGGGAACGTAGAATTGATGAGGAGGAAGGGACGGATGAGGACGTCAAGGTAAGCCTGAACGAGAACGACAACGACGAGGAGGGAATAGCTGGATTGGAAGCGGCGGTGGGCTCCAGTCCAGACACTGGGTGAGTCCAGACGCTGAGTGTGAGCCGGATCCAGGTGGGAAGGGGGAAGGCGCAAGCGATTAACGCGGTGTGCCTCCCCTCACTCTTCAGCGGACGCGTTTTTCGCTGCGCAGCACACCAGCCAGACAGCTGTAGGCAGGAGCGGGCCTGAGGGGGGTGCAGCACACTGCGTCGACCGGCTGGTGCTTTGGGGGTGTCAGGGTGTGCCTGCCCGCGACCGGCTGGCAAGGTCCACTGGAGCGACCAAACACAGCGAACCGCGGCCTGCCACTGGGGGTTCTCCGCCCGAGGACCAAGACCAGTGCAGGGGCTAACTTGACGCCTGACCTTCTGGGGCAGGCGTGGCCGAAACGAGTCACGAGAACTTGGCAAGTACCAATGGCCACAACCTCAGTCCTATTACCTTCATTGTTTCTCAATTCCCTGGCATCAGTGGAAGCATCGCTCTGTTTGTCTTGCCTTTTCATAGCCTCGGTCACTCCTACGTCCTATAATTTGAACCCAGACCAAAGACCTTCAAGGTGTTGCAAATGGCCGACTCGCTTATGCCGCCTTCGCATCCGTCCCTGACTCGCGGCCCACTTGTCCTTCTACAGATGGCGTGCTGCGGGTGCTGGGATCAGGACGACACGAAGTCACGTGCACCAAATCTTGTTTGCTTTTGCCGCGGCAATCGCTCTAATGATTGGTCAAGTCGTGTTTTGTCAACTTGGAGCACACTCTCCCAGCGACGAGGTTTTGTCTGAAACACCACGTTCATCAGCTTCGCTTTGCTGAGAATGATTCACCTCACGTCACTGTCATATTCAGATGCTGGTATTAATGGGGCATCAAAGCCTTCAACTCACCCGCATGCCGGCTCATCCGCTGTCGATGCGTGTCCATGCGCGCCTCCATCTAATATCACAGCCTCGTTATCCCGAAGGTCATCTTGCACCCGCCGCCACTGCGTCTTGCGATCCCGCCGGCCTTGAAGCTCCGCTGCCTTTCCTTTCGGCTCGTAAACGGGCTTAATCATGTGGCCTAGGAGGGGGTTGCGGCTAAAAGCACCCCCGCCACCTTGAGGCTGTGGTGTATAGTTCTCCTGGTCCCTTTGGTAGTCATCCTCTTCCTGCTCTGGTGACGGCGGCCGCTCGACAGCCGCCATCTTCTTCACAACCCGTCCGCCCACAAGATCGATACTGACGATTTGACGTCGCTTTTCGTACTCGGGACGGGCATTCCACTCCATCTCGCGAAGAATCTTCTGCTGCCGCTTTAGCTCCTTCGCCCGCTCCTCTGGCGTCGACCACATGTTGCCCCCCGTCCCGGCCACAGCCCCAGAAACGTCAAAGTCTGCCGCCTCGTCGCGCACCGTTGTCCGCTGCGGGTTCTGAGCCTGAAAGTTCAATAGCTTGTCTCTATGTGCCTTGGCCCTAGCTTCCGCCTCGGACAACTGCGAATTATCGGCAGGGCTGTTGCTGCTGCTGCTTGTTTTAAACTGACTGAAAGGGGCCGGTTTCTTGCTGACTTCGGCACGTTTGTGAATTTCCCTATCGGCTGCCATCTTCTCCCGACCTCTCTCAAGCTTGAGTTCTTGGACCATGGCCTGAACGTCTGCAGAGCTGAGGAGCGGCGCTCCACAGAAAGTACATGGACCAAGTCCCTCCTTAAGGCAGATGACTTTGCCGCAGGACAGACAGTTTGGAGCTGCCGCCTGGACGCCATGGCGTGCACCAACACAGTTGCACCGACGGGCGTTGACGTTGTCCTGTAGTGTGGGGTTTGTCGTCATCTCAAGCGTTCTGATGGCAGCATCGAGGTCGTTGAGGGCGGTCGAGGCACCAGCCATAGGCGTGCCGCCAGCGATGGACACCTTGGTCGTCGCGCCGGGTTTGGGTGTCGACGAGCGGCTCACAGGGTTGGACTTGGCCTTCGCCTTTTGCGGGCCCTCTGATATAAGGTAGCCGGCGGCTGTTCTCTGCGCCGGAGGGGCAGGGGCAGGAGCAGGAGCGGGTGTCGCCCCCTTCGCGGGAGGCTTGGATGCCGAGGAGCTGGCTGCCGCAGCGGGCGCGGGACTCGGTCGCTTGCCAATGTAGTCTTCTTGCTGACTCTTCTTGCTGTAGCTGAGACCAGGCGTGGGCAAGGCGTCGACTTGTCGGGGAGGAGGGGTGTGCAAGGCCGGCTTCTTCTTCTTCTGCCCTCGCCTCGGCCTGGGGACACCATCGTTTGGCGCATCGCTGTTGTTCGCAGAGCTTGCTTCTGGTGTGTAATTTGGGGCTGGCACGGGTTTGGTGTCTTTGCGTCGCGAGTTGAACGAAGAGATGAATTCTATGGCTTGCGGGGAGTCGCCCAACAGGTTACCGAAATGCTCAGCGGCCTCGGACTTGGATAATGTCGCGCCATAGTCAAGGATCTGCTTCAATTCCTCTTCCGGCAGCGGTAGCAGTCGCTGTAGCTGCACGAGCGACATGATGATCCGCTGGTCGGTTTTAGCTGGTGGTGGACGGTTGATCACGGCGAGGTGCTTGGTTTTCTATCAATAGGTAGGTCCCTCGCGTTTAGACGAGCTAGGCAAGCTTCAGTGATTCATTGTGATGCACAGGGCCACAACCCCACGTCACCGACAGACTCAGCCGGCCAAGCCCCCCCCCCCTCGTCAATAGTCAAGCTTGGGCTTTGTCGGACGACGGGCACTCCAGGCAACCCGACATTTCGCCGACCCTCCCCCGGAATCAACCGGATACAATGGGAAGGCCAACGAGTGAGATGGCGCTATTCTACTTTGGGTAGCGCTAGTGGCCTTCCCAGCTCAACGAACCACAGCGACGAATGGCTGCCAGACATACCATGTCGGCGCCCATCTTTTTTCACGGCACACCATCCCCCTTCCTCGTCCTTATTATTTCGCGCTCTACATCCTTCCATCACTTCTATACCCAACCCGTCCGTCATCAGCACATTCTCCAGGGCCGTCTTCAGCAGCCCCTTCACTCACAATGTTCGCCCCCAGGATCCAGCGCCGCATGTTCTCGGCTACCGCCCGTGACGTACGTCTTCCTCCCTGTCCCCTTCATTCGCTCGGAGCCGAGAGCTGTCCAGCTGCGAAGCTGCAACTC